TGCATCAAAAGCAACTCACTGGATTGTGCTTGAATATATTAACTATTTTCATATATATTGGTTTATCCATTTCGTGGTTTCAAAAGTAGAGCGCATTATTTTGAGAGCCGTCAAACTTAACTGTCAAACCAAAAATCTTTCGTTTTTCGTTAATTTTCAGGAATTTATTCAAAGAGATCGCTTTACAACTGCACAGTGATTCCAACGAAAGATGGCTACAAGCGGAGATTATGGCACAAATAATCGCGCAACTAATCAAACAATTGGTAAAACTTTAAAGAAATTCGCAGAGACTGAATGGGTTACAGTTAATGTAAGGCCTTTGCATTATCCTTTTGCTGAAATATCTGCCTCAAATATCGCTACAGCAAGTGAGAGTGTAGCTTAAGACCCGTGCGTGTCTACTTTTGGTTGTTCACAAGAGCTGGAGCTTTTTTTAGGGCCAATTATGGCGTGTTTTGCACTTGCGCTTATACCTACAACAACTGCAGCCAACTGATCATTCACAACGACGTATATACGTCGAATGGATGCTTGAACCACAAGCAGTGAGTAGCGATTTCTCGAACGAAACTTTCTTCAGCGACGAGGCGCAGTTTTCTCTCGGTGGGATACGGAAAAAAATAAAATTTTGAGTTCAATTGAGTCAATTGACCACCGAGAACGTGTGATTTGACAATGGTTTACCCTTTTTGTAGAACTATGCGATAGACCTTGTTTATGCGGAACAAGTTTTAACTGTGAGCGCTTAAAAACCAACAATTAAAAAGTTTTGGCTGAGATAACGGTCAATATGTGTCCAAAAGTGGTCGAAAGTCACTTTAAACGGATCGAAGTTTGTAAAAAAGCGCGATGTTGAGTTTCGCATTCATAAATTCAAGGTTCAAATTTTTTAATAAAATTTCATGAAAGAATTATTTTAAATGCATTTCATTTACGTTTATTTTCGAAATCACAAAATGGATAGACCTGCATATAAATGCACATTAAAATTAACGCAATGCTATTATACCCATGCTGACAGTGAGAAAATGAAGAGGTTTTGGAATAAATAACAACATTGTTGGATTAGCGCAGATATAGCTCTGTTATTTGGACTCAATACGGTTCAAAAAATTGCTTTCAAAATGCTATGTGTTGAAATTTGCTCCATTTTGAACTGATAATTTTCTAGGAAATAGTTGAGAACGTTACTCGTTGCAAGGACTAATAAATAAAAAATATTTTTCCATTGAATTTAGTCTTTCCCTATAATATTTTTTCCAGAGTATTTTTTTTTTAAAGATACAGCCCTAATTTCAAAGTTAAAAACTTAATATAATACTGGTTGATAAATTTTCGAAATTCTCCATTTGTTAAAGTCCTATCAGTGCCATTTGCAAATTCCTTATGAGAAATTTATGATTTTGGGCTGTGCGATAATTAACTTCGTTTCTATTTTTAAATTTATTTCAAATGAAGTTTGCTTATTGCCTGTAAAAGTCAATTCGACCCGTTTTTTGTGTTCAAATACAGTTATTGAGCTCTTCTGCCTTTTTTTTTATCAAAAAACCCTAATCGAATTGGTGAGTTCCCCAATCGTTTTGCATTCGCCGAAAAGCCAGTATACATTAGGAGCAAGATCTAGGGATTACGGCGTTTGGAGTAAGACTTCTTATATCAGCATCTCCAAGTAGTTTTGATCGTTACAGCCTTGGCTGAGAGTTGTCATGCTGAAAAGTTACCTTGTCAAGCTCTTTGGCCGTTTATGACCGCTTTTAAACTCATAAGTTTTAGTCAATTTGACTGGTTTTTGGCAGCTTATATTACATCACACCAATGTGGTCCCGCAATATGCAGAGCATGACCTTGATGCTTTGATGCTGATGGTACGGGTTCACCAGGTTTAACTTAGTTTCTTTTTGGAAGTATCGTAGTATATTTATTTTACTATTTATATATCCATTCACGATCAAGTGGAGAATCCCTTCCTTTAGTCTCTTTTAAGAACCAGTTCCGTGGTCAAAACTCGCCTTTCGCCATCTCCAATGTGATTTATATACCAAGTGCTGAAGAGGAAAGAAAGACGCGTTTGCTGATGAAAAACTGATGAGTCGTTTAAGCAGCCAAGTTCATGCCGAAGAAGAAGAGCCTGAATTCATAATCGAATACAATGAAATGGACATATAGACGAAGTTCGAAAAACTATTACTCGCTTGACGAACAACATAAATTCTTTACCGAATATGGTCGGCCAAAAGGAAGCCCTGACTACATCCCCACACTAAGTTATTATTCTCGTCATTATTATGGTTAGAGGCTTTGTCGATACATTAATCGATGAATATGCATTCGGAGCTTGTGGTTATGCTGGCTAGGCCATGTTGTCTCGATAAATAAAACCATTACAAATTTAAAAGTATTCGATGCAATGCTTGCAGAAGGAAGGATGGCGACGAACGGTGCCTACATTCATAAAGAATACTAAGAAAAATATGATGTAAGTCGGACGTCTGTTAAGAGAAATGGTAAATGATATTACTGTACCATGATCATAGAGTGGATGTGGGGGACATTACTGCTCTATTGTGCCAGTTCGATCTTCTTGATGCAAGCGTGGTCGTTAGAGATATCGATAACCAATGACAATACAGATTCAATAGTTAAACAGTAGACATTCGAGTCAATATTGTGCTTCACTGAAAATTGCTCAATGCAGTCCATACCCTTGGGCGCTCACCACATGGAAAGCATTATCTAATTTTGGATAACATTATCTGTCGAAAGTGATTCACATACCGTTTGGTCCTTGCTTGTTTGCACGATAAAACTGTTTTTTGTACCTTTCATGTGCTTGAAATAGTTTATTAAGTTTGATGCGTTTGATGCGATGCATGAGAGTACCAAAAGAAGAAGAGATTGACCCATCAAAATGTATACCAGTCGGGTCAAAATGACGAGCTGAAGTCATTTAGCTATGGCGGTCTGCCGCATGTTTGTACCCAAGCTAGTCCCTCAATTTTTAGTTATTTCAACCAAACTGTTGAAACGGTATATTTAAACTATTATTTGGAGGAATATATCGATGTTTAATGATGTGGGATTTTAGGTCATAAACTTGCCAAGAAGCATTTGGGTACTGAAAATCTTCGAAATCATATAGCCTCCAGTCAAAAAAGAATCTACAAGCGTGAGTTTCCTGTTTAAAGATTAAAAACGACATAAATTATCGAACAGCTCAATATTCACTGCTTTAATTTTTTTTGTACTACAAAATTTCCCACAATGGCACTAAAAGAAATGATTTCTTCTCCAACAATGTTGAGTTTATTTTTATGCGTATTTACAACAAAAGCCGGAAGTATTTCACTGCAATTTAATACTTTTTTTATTCTTTTTCGAGTTCTCAACAAAATAATATTGTAGTATAAATGATTGTATTTTGAATTTAAATATTGTAATTGAAAAATGCCCACAAATGTATCTGATATGCGGATACATGCGAAAAATGCGAATTATTGCTTGTATTTCTAATGTCTTTTCTTGAAATGTACAATACAATGGACTAAATACATTTTTGCGAAAAAAACTCAAACACAAAAATTTAACTACAATATTCATAATGTGAGAAAATGCAGAAAGATTTTTTTTTTTTATAAATTTTAAAAGTTTTTAGATAACAAATTTTGCTTTGCAATAAGGTGAAGTGGTAATTGAAAAAAATATAATTAATACATATTATAAAATAAATCAAATTAAATTAGTAGTAGTAATAGTAGTAAGTAGTAAGTAGTATTAGTACAAGAGGAATATTCATATGCATTTTTGTTGTTGTTTTGCATGTTTTTAATTACCTTCTACGAAAGGTCGGAATCAATTCGAGTTTATTTTTATTATAATTTTTTTTTTTTTGAGTTTGAGTAGTGAGTACGAGTAGAGTAGTAGTATTATTGGTAGTAGTAGTAGTAGTAGTAGTAGTAGTTGTAGAGGTAGAAATTGTAGTAAATAGAGGGGGAGTGGAAAAGAAAAATATGTTTAGAGTTTCATACGCATTTTAATAATATTTTGATAAAAAAAATTTACTTTTAAGCGCTCAAGTTTAGAATAAATTTTCTTTTTTGTTTACAGACAAAATGAGATTCTATTTGTTGTTGTTGAATTTTTTGCTGTGCTGTAGAGAGAACTACTAAAATAAAATTATTATATTTGAATACTAACATCTAAATTTAAAGCAAATTAATATTTTAATAAATTTTTATTTAATTTTAGTAAATATTTGTATGGGTTTTTTTCTTTCTTTTAAATGTCTGCTTTTGACATTACATATTTTCTATTAATTACTTCTTACTCAAATGATTTCAAGCATTTTAGGCGTATTTTCGAGTAAACTATTACACTGTATACAGTGAATTTCGTATAGACGGATTCGCGATTTATGGTAAGAATTTTACGTTATACCCTTTTTATGTAACCAGTTAGTGTTTTTTGTTGTAAATTTTCTATAACTTTATAATAAGTAGGTACTTTTCTCTCATTGTATAATTATGTTCCTGCACAACACAATCAAAACGCACTCACGAAGGTGTAAAGAAACCGTCCATAAACTCACACACACAAAGTATACTCTTTACACGACTTTAATTTTTTTGCAAAAAAAACCTTAAAATGTTCATATATATTTTAGAAATTTAACTTAAAGCATTTAGTTGTATTGGAGCAGAGATATTTAAATGTAGTTCAGCTTCGAAATGTAATTAATATGTTTAATTGTAAGAACTTGAGAAATTATTTAGTTTAATTTATATTTGTTTTTTTTTTTGAAGTTTTTTTTTTGCTCATTATGTATACACATAGAAAAGAATTAATAATAATTATAATAATAAAATAGTAGAAATGCAACAATGTTTTTTTTTTGTTATTTTTTTGTTTTTTTTTAATATAGAAATTTTTAAAATAAAAATATCACAATAACTTTTCAACAGCTGGCAACACTGTACGCCAACATAGCCAATAACACATACCTGTCCGCCTTCACCTTCAACGCTAACCAAATCTCGCCATTCCTCAATAGTTTGCGCCAAATCAATGGTACAGAGTGGCACCTTCACTTCGCCGATTTGATCGTGTTTGGAGAAACGATCGAAATCGAAAATAGCAAATACGAGCGTCTTGTTCATGGCATCGGCATAGGGCAAGCTCTGTTGATTGGTATAAAATTATTAATGCACTGACCACTTCAAAATTCTTTTTAAGATTATTCAAGCAAAAATTACCTTAAATGTAAAGGTTTCATTGAAAACGGGACTCAATGTCTTACGATGCACCTTAGTTTCGAATTTCTTCTTCTTATCAGGCAGCAGATAAACTTTGACATAAGGATCCGATGTGCCGCCCATATCAAGGGCGGGTAATTCTTCAGCTTGTATAACGGTGACCGATAAACTGTTGGAGTTGAAGTCATATTCGAGCTGTTCAAATAAAAGAGAAACTCGAGCGAGAGAGAAAGAGAGAGATAGAAAGAAATGCGGGAAAAATTGGGAAGAGAAAAAATAAAAGTGGAATAATTGAAACATAAAAAGCGAAATCCGTTTCAAAGCAGCATTGGAAAGAAAAAAATATTTTGTTACATTTATTTCTTATAAAATAATATAATCATTAATGAATGTGTCTGAAAATGATATTGAAAATCGAGCTGTGAGTACTTGGTGGCTGCAGTGATACGATAAGGAAAAATTAATGCAATGCTAAACTATTTATTTACGTGACAAAATAAAGGTTTTTGTGAATTAATTTCGGTAAGCGCAAATTTTCGTAATATAATTTGTGTTTTCAACGAGTGTTGCCGGAGTGTTTGTGTCAAAGCTGTTTAAATATTGGCATAAAGAGAGGTTACATTAGATATCAAAGCAGCATTGGAAAGAAAAATTAATCCAATATTTTTGCTGTGATCTGTATCTCGCGTTCTATAAGAACATATGGAATTACACTAAATGGCGTTGGAAAGATGATATTTTGTACTAAAGAAGGTAAAAGAAGAAGTGTTAATCACCTAGCTCAGTCAAAGATGAACACTAGCCAGGAGAAATACGCTATATCCGATAAAGTCGAAAATGCAATTCGGGCAGCTGAAAATCTGAAGAGAATTTATGGTTCTAAACCTGTAACAGCCAATCATGCACAATTTTAGTTTGATCGATTATGTTTCGATGATTTTGATTTAAGAGATGCTTCAAGAGCTGAAACCACTTGAGAGGCTCTACGTATGGGTGCCACATGAATTAACGAGAAAAAGGCTCATGGACCGATTATCCATCTGCAAGTCACTGCTGAATAGTAACATTGAATTGGGAGCGATTGACGGTCTGAAGGTAGCAATCGCACACCTGTCCTGAACAGAAGAGGAATAGTGTTTCATAAGGAACAGGCGTGGCCAAACACATCGATAGTGACTCACCAGAAGCTCTGAGAGCTTGGTTTGAGATGTTCTTATGTATCCATCTTATAGTGTTGACCGCGCACCAAGTGTTTACTGTCTATTTGTGTTTATGGCAAATGATTTGGCTGTAGCAGGTTTGTCCTCAAAGGGAGTCTGTGAGAATCGATTAAGCCAATTTTTCGCCATTAGAGACAAGAATTTCAATAATAAACTCAAAATGGCATTACCTTTAAAAGGGCAAAAAGTTATCTAGTCAATTTGACATTAATCGATTTAATTGAATAGTAATGACGTTTTGTAACCTCTGAACCTCTGGGAGGAAATTCTCCCGAACGGAATTCGACAAACCAACTTCGACGCCGTGTTTCTTTTAAGGCCTTTAAGGAAATAATAAAGTAATATATGGTAAATTTGTTTGAAAATTAATTTTCCATAATTTTAGATGTTCTTCGAAGCAGAACTCGAACTCTGGTCTACCGAGTGGCATTACGCGATTCTAACCACTCGGTTATTGAAGTCGCCATTTTCGTATTAAACTTCAATAAATTGTAAAAAAAGGATTTACATTTACCGTCTCACACCTCAACGGAAGCCATGGTGAAAATAGACAAACTACGGTTTGAACTGCTTGACCGCTAAACTTTACAGATCAAGTCCCAAGCGATTTTTTTCTGCTCTCATATCAAATTATGGTACGGCGTGTTATTTTTCCATATAATTTCAATATCAAATTTCTACCCTTTTTTATAAAACACACCCTTTTTTAACATGATTAATATTATTGAATATTATTGAACTAGTATTTAACTAGTATGAATTGCATAATTAGACAATTGACACTTAGAAGGGCGTCACTTGGTTAAAAATACTAGCCACTGATATGTATATAATATAAATGCCGCTTTGTTACCGCTGAAGCGTTTTTCGGCCGAGCTTCCCCTTTTGATTTGTCGTATACACTTTGATGTTCTTCCAACAAGTGGAGGAACCTTCAGTTTACTTTCGCCTCCAAACGGCCAATGGATTTTTATAAGGAGAGTTTATTTCATGTCAGAAATACAGTCGGAGTGGTTGACATAAAATTTATTTTCTATAATTTTGGATGTTTGGTCAATTCTGTGCTCCAACCCTGGCTTTCTAATCATTAGTACGCTGTGCTAACCACTCGACACTGGGAGAAAAAGAGAAGAGAAGATGAACTATTTAGTGAAGAACTCCAAAATAGTCGTAGCCCTTCGCTGCAGGAATGTTGCTGTATCGATCTCTCTCAGTTTTGTTTGATAAGGAAATAGTCTAACGCCGATCGTTAATTATCAATTGAATAGAAGATTTGATACGAAAGTAAGTTATTTCAGAATGAAACTCTCCGGCAACACTTGTTTTTATATATATTTTTAATTTGATTAAACTTTTGAGTTTTGCTATTATTTTAATTTTTTTTTTATATTATTTTTTTTTGTGGCAAATTTATTTGTTAAAGTAACTAGAAATATAATGAAGGCAATTTTTGTGTGCAACTATTTCTAAATATATTTTAAGTGAAGAAAATACTAAAAAATGTAAAAAGTTGAAAAGTCTTTAAAAGTAAATGTATTTGAGAATTTTTTTTCTTGCAACCATTCCGTTTTGTTATATTTTTACGTTACTCTCTCTACGCTCCTGTGTGCCATGTGGTCTCGTGCTTTTGCAAATACACACATTTGGTGTTGCCACTGTGTACATAGTATATGTAGTGTAGATTTGACTCGCACAACGTCAAAACGTGTCTTAGAATCATACACACTTAGCTTACCTTAAAATTTAATCTCCCCAATTTTTGCTCGCTCTGTTTATCCTCTTCATCGCCCTCTTCAGCATTTTCGGTGAGTTCCTCCATATCAGGCTGAACCTATGACATACCAGAACCCAATAACTACTAAGATATGATAGCGTTTTTGATACTTACTTTCTCTTTATACGCTGATCCTAATAATTGTACCGATTTCATATCGACACCCTTCTTACCCTTACCATCTTTGGTTCGTCGCTTCTTCAGGAAACGACGTACACAAAAGAAGAGTATACCAAAGACGACGAGGAATACCAATATGATAATGGCTACCACACCCCATGTGGGTAGGCCGGTCTTCTCGGCAATCACCTCGGTGACAACTTCGCCAGCATGTCCGATTTTCTGAATGGTGGACACAGTTGTTGTGGTGGGCTCCTCTGTGAAATGATGGCAGCATGGTTATTATTTTTTATTTATTTTCGTTTGTTAATTTATATTTTATATTTAATATATATAATATATAGTATATGCGACTACTTAAAGTCTTACCCTCCGCCTCTGTTGTGGTTTTTGGTGTCAAAGTGGTTGCCTCTGTGAACATTTTTTGCGCTAATTCAGGGAACACCTTTCCCTGCGTGGTCTCCTCAGCTTTCTGATTGTCCGCCTCCAGACCCTGCGTGGACTCCTCCGGCAGCTGCTCCTCGGTGTTTGTATTCGCGTTTGGCGGCATTTTGTGCTACTGCAATTAGCAAAAATTTAAAGAGAGAAAATTAAGAAACGAAATGGCAGTAAGTTGGAGTAAAGATTGTGTAGCTTGATAATTTTTAAAACTATTCAAAAAAATACATACACAAATTTAAATAGATCAAATCGAGGTGAAACTAAATATCTTATTTTTTACTCCGCTGAGAGTCTCCAGCAGAAATTATTTGTAAAGATACCTTATGTGATGGACTCTCGCCAAAAGGGAAAACCGTGTGGTAATTGCATTTTGAATCCCTAAAAGTGTTGCTTCAATTGGCGTCTATCGCACTCAGTGTTTTATTTAACTATGCTTTGTATATGCATATGTGTGTGTTTGTGTTTATGTAATATACATATTATGGCATGAGTAAAGTGTGTTGACTTTTATCAACTTACTGACTATGAAAAGCTTCCGACGGACATAATTTACGCACTATTGTTGACTTCTTAAGTTGGATCTTTCAACAATTTTAACAACATAAATATAGGGTTATCTATTTCGTGGCTCCAAAAGTACAGAGACATATTTAGACATCTGCCAAAGGATCGGTTACAGATATTGTAAGGCCTGTGCATCACCGTTGCATTCGTTGCTTCTCATATATATTTTCTCTATTTAAGTGAAAGTGTAGCAGTAGATCCGAATATGCCCATTTCTGGATATTGAACTGGCAATTTCTTGCGGAATTTTAGTGGCGTATTTTGCACATGGACTTACGCTTACATTCATGTTAGGTCCAACTGTTACAATACTTCTGGCTTAACATCGGTCCTTACATTAGTTATCCATTGATAGTCGGTTAGGATGTTTGCCAGAAGATGACAAACCACATAGCCCACTAGCTTTAAGTTGGACCAATTGGCATATTAAGGTGTCCTACAATAGCCTTTTTGCAGAATGTGATTTTACGAATGATTTTAATACCTTCTGTTTCACATTGCTCAATGTATGGCTCAACTCGGAAAGATAATTTGGGTTAGTCCCAAATGAGGCATTTGACGAGATCAATGCGGGAGAGTTTACATTGTTAAAAGCCCCCTCTATGTTTATAAATCCAAATCTTTTTATACTTCAGACAGAATGCTATTAATTGAATTATATACGTCGTTTGCGTTCTGTCGATAAGACAGTCGCTCAGGGGGTAGCGAGGCGATTGCTAGCAGTTTACATAAAAGTATGCCTATTCTTTTTGTAGTAAGGCAGGACAGATTTCATATGTACCGACAGCTTTGACTGATTTGAAGCTTACAAAGGCTCTTGACAGAAATTCGTTTAACTGTGTCAGAAGTCTTGATTCCCCACAGATGTATGTTAGTAGGATTACTTTAAACATCAATAAAGCGGTCAGCAAAGCACGGTTACAAAAAAGCAACCATAACAATTTTCTTGTCCGTCTTTTAGAGGTATTCTTAAAGAAAATAAGAAAATTAAAGTTAAAGTCCACAACAAAATTGTGGCGAGATAGCGTTGTCTCAATATTTTTACCTAGATTTTTAGGCTTATAACAGTTCTAGTAATAAGAAATATTATTAAGCTCATAAGTGTATATGACTAGAAGAATATGAAAAAAGGAAAAAATACTTATAAACGAGGAGATTAACAAAACTAAGATGACCAGAAAAAACTTATTTTTGTATTTATTCGTAATCTTTGTCCTTTTTCATCTTCTCTACATAATTGCCATTGATTTCTATGCCTTTCTTAAGCCTGTAGATCCATTTCCGAAAACAGTTTTAAGCTTATCAAATTCAGCATTAACCGCATTTATTATCTCCTCGTTGCTAATAAAGATGTTTCATGTAAATTTTTTTTAATTTTTGGAAATAACCAGAAATCACAAGGTGCTATATCCGGGAAATATGGAGCTGGACGTATTTCTTCGACCCCAGAACTCACAACCAAATTACTCGTTACATCAGCAGTGTGGGATGGCGCGTTGTCATGATCTAAAATCCACTTTCTTCTTGTTTTTTAAAACAAATTTTTGGAAACTTTTGGTAAGCACTCTTCGCTGTACCACCTTGCAGCTAGCATCTGATCCTTTTCCAGTGGAATAGCAACTAAGATTTCAGATAGGGTGAAGTAAACTAACATCATTGCTTTTGCTGCTGATATTTGTTGCTTAGACTTTTTGGGTCGGTTTGCTCCTGTTGGGCTCCAAAGCAAGGACTGCTGTTTGCTTTCTGGATCGTACTTATAGAACCAAAATTCGTAACCAGTAACGACTTTACTTAAGTTGCTATACTGACAATTTGCGAATTTGTGTAAGCAAAATTGAGCAAAATGCACTAAAGCGTCTTATTGGGCCTCACTTAAAATTAGCGGTACCCATCTAGTAGATTTCTTCGTGTATCCACACAGCCAATTCATTAGCAATCATTTCTTGTGCCAGTCATGGGTCTTCGTCAATTTTGGACTTCACCACAGCTACAGTGACGTCATTAGTGGAAAATTTTTTTCGACCTTTTCGGGGAGCGTACTCTATGAAAAAATATCTGGTCTGGAATCTTCGGAGCACTCAGAAATAGTGTTTGAAGACGGTCCAACCTTTCAATATGCAATTTGACTGCATTCTGTTGGCTGTAAGTTACGTCGAAATGGAATTTCGTCTGACTTATCTTCAGCTAATTTATGTATTCTAGTCTCCATTTGACCCGATCGTTCTAGAATTTCAAAGGTAGACTAATGAAGTAATTGCAAAGAATTTGGTGTTTTTAGATTTCACAAAAACAAATTGAAAATTACCAACTGACCGAACTTTTGTTAATCCCCTCGTATATGAGTTCAGTTCGTTTAGTATCGAAGCTCGTATATTACTAGATTTTATCGATCGAAAATGTGTTAAAAGTTATCATTCGTTGTTTTCTTGTTTTTGTAATTTTTGTAATTGTAATAATTGAATTGCCATTAAAAGTGTAATAAACGTCCTTGGCTGCGATTAGTTTTTGTAAGGCATTTGATATGCAATAAAAATCAGTGGAAAAGTAATCCGCGGTTATTGTAAAAATGAGAATAATAAGTGTAACTAGTGAGCAATAAATTTTTTATGAGCACATTTATACATAAAACACTATGTATGTAATAATATTCGAGTACAAAGTTAATAAATGGCGTAATTTTGTATTTAATATCAATGAATTACACTGGTAAACAAACACTGGAAAATAAACAATAATTATAAAAAATCCTGCGAAGAAAAGAGACACGATTTATTTTATGATTTTGGCTTATGTCAGTGTACTCTCATTTAAAATACATAATTTTTTTTGTTGCAATTTCATACGTTTTTTTCTGACTCCCACATATTCATTTCTGGCCTTATTTACCTCCCTTCCATCCTTCTATCATTTCAGATAATGAAGCAGAAGAATTTAACAATTTTATTTTGATCAATGAATTGGAAGGGACCAACGTACGCATGGTTGGTATTCGAAATACATTATAAATAAACCAATTTGTCTTCGTCCAAAATACCCATCCTGTATAATATTGACCTGCCGCCTCGATCAGAAGGGCCGACGTCTAGTGAGGAATTTGCCCTAAACGGTATGATTCGAACTCAGAGAGTAAAAAATTGAATAGAGAATATTAAAAGGTCCATAAATACGGCAGCTGATAAAGGAAAAGACCTTGGAAAAACTATTGAGCGACCAGGAAAACCTTGAACAGCAATGTTGTATGCAAGTAAGGCTGATGTGACCATTATGAAACCGCTGAGGCTTCACCTTCTCAAATAATCGAACCATTTCGTGCGCCTTATAAAGGTAACGAGATTAAATGCATGTTATTCAGATCTTTCTTGAAAGCCATAATCAGAAATTTTGTGAGATTATTAAATGAATTTATAATGCCATATAAAGCTTTAGTGTGTAATATCCCAATAAGACTTCATATGCTAGACTCTTAATTCGATTTATTTGAGTACCATTTATTAGGGACAAACAAGTTGCGAGGTGCTCCTGAGGAGCCTAGTTAAGGAAAATGAAAGCCAGAAATGCAAGCAGATTATCTTTGAAGACTCAGAAGGGATCAACCAAATCCCAAATATTCACGAAAATCCCGAGTTTTATTGCAAGTTAAGCAATAATATGTTTCCAAATATAAGTTTTTGTATTTTTCCAAAAAAGATTTCTTGATGTCACCGTAAAATGTACTTATTTTTTCGTTGATATAATAATGATTGATGGCTATAATGCATTAAAAATTTGTTACAAGTTTTCATGTAGCAAGAAAATATTCAATTTTGTTGACCAGCATTATGGGCAATTACACTTATTGTGCAATGCACTGATTACGCTATTAAATGCTTGCCAAGTTTGTGGATTTGTCATTTAATATTTGATTTACAATCTGTGCAATAACATTTGAAATGCATTAATGGAACATTGTTGTTGTTCCAGTAGAAAAAAATTTATAATAATTTCCAAAAGAATTATAATTGGCGCTTTGTAACGACTGACCCGTTTCGAGCCTTGGCCTTCTGAATGGCAATTTGCAATGCTACGGCTGCCAAATACTAAAGTGTCTCATTGCTGAAATCATTGGAAAAGAGATTTACTTAGATTAACCGAACTAAGTAAGTGTTTTTCAAAATAATTCGAACCGTTCTCAAAAAATAGCTCCGTCGGCAAGTTGTGCCTGATCTTGGAAGCGATTACCAATCTCATTTAAAAGGCTTTTGTCAACAATAATTAGGGTGCATCAGCGTCTATTTCTGACAACAACATTGGCTTTTGTATCTTCGAAAATGTCTGGATTCGTTTCAAATAAACAGAATTTGCGGAAAGTTTTAATTCGATATTTAAATGAGAAGAATAAGAATGAAAAGTGAAATGAATTCTATCCAATGTTTGCGGATGTTTTAGGGAATCTGTCCGATAAGCCATGTAAAGAATGGTTTGACGCTTCAAATGTGGTGATTTTAGCATCGAATAGTTCGATGATGAGGAATAAGAGGTTTCACTTGATCAAGATCTGCGCCAAACGCAAACCAA